TTTTTTAATTTAGTTGCTTTTAGTTACTAATCATTGTAATAAAATATGTAACTATTTCATGTAAGATTAAGGAACTAAATGCAAAAGTTAGTTTTTTATTGATATCATGGAGGGAGCATGTTTTTTTTTTGGTAGAGTACCTTGACTCTCAAGCTAGCATATAATTACTTATTTTGTTACTCTGTAATTCATTTAAATAAATGCACTATAATTTATTACGATATTAATTATGTGGTGTGCTACAATAGCTTCTTAGGCTTAATACTCCTGAATTTTCTAAAGGCAATAAACTAATTTAAGCCCTCATTTATTTGGGAATGGGGGTTTCGATGTTGTAGCTGCATACTAATTGCATTTATTACATCCAACAGAGCATTTAAATTTTCTAAAAAGATAGTAACATCTGCTCGCTTTATCAATATTCAATCAAACAATATCGTAAGCCACGAATTGGTATAAATAGCCGATGGCTCTTGTACATTTGGTTAAATACAGTTAATTATTGTTGCGTGTAAGTTGATAGCGGGTATCAGTCCTAAATAAACGCTATAATTTCAAAGAGAAAATGAAAATTTCAACGATCCTATTTGTTTCACTTGTCGGGATGTTTTGCTGCTTGGCACGTTGTGAAAACTTTCCTTCGGTTCACTTGTTTTTGAAAGCGTCGAAGAATGTACCCAGAATTGGACGAAGTATGGTTAATAACGAGGAATTTGAAAAATTCTTTTTAAAGGCGTCGAAATCGGTTCCTCGAATTGGAAGGGGAGGAGACCAGGTGCATCATTAATAATATAATTTAACAAATAAACAATTGTACAAGATTGCTAACATATGTAGGTAATCTCGGTAACTTTTAGGTTGAAAATGGACAAAAAGAAATAGTGCAAGCAACCGATAAAAAATCATTGAGTACTAACCAAGCGCGTAAGTAACAAACGAAAAGCTTTTAAAATCAACGCAATTGCTTGTTCTTTTATTTAACATTGATCCTATTGATGAAGAATTAGTAACTGTATTATTTAAAGTTTTGCTGTCTTTATTATTTGCGGTTTCTAGTTTTAATTTTACTTATTTTCATTAACATATCTACAATTACTTATTTAGTACCATTATGGACTGGAATTGCTACTGTATATGAATTGGATCCATACGAGTCTCCTGAAATTGCTTTGTCTGACGACACTTTACAGGATAACAGAAATATTAACAAACTCTTCAGATATAAACGAGATACAGTAAAATAAATGCCTGTCTTATCTAATAAGCTTTCAACTGTATATGTAACGGTCTATTGCTATACTTTTTTGTAAAGATCTTGCTATACAAATACACTAAAAGATACACCTAACGTGTCGATTATTTTTTATTTTTTGTTGTTTTTATTTTCCCCATTATAGTGGTATAAAACGAATCAATGATCAGAGTTGTTATCTTTTCATAAAATATACGGTCTGTAAATTTGTATTTTTTTATTACTTTATCTATCCGGTTTTATTTAATAAAAACTTAAAACATTGTGAGTAAAAACTTGATTAGAATTTATTAATTATTTATAACAATTCAACACTGAAAACTATCACCAATGGGTAATATTGAAATAAATAGCACATTGTATAGTCCAATCTATCAGAGACGATTGTCTATAACTGCGTAGCATTAAACATTCGCAGAATAAGTACATTGATTTTTGAAATACAAAATATACATCTGAACTATGATTTTTAATGAAAACTAAATTCATTCCCAATCTTCTAGTATTCCAAAATATTTCTTAAGTCAGTGACATTTGACATTGTTTTTAATTTCTACACTTCTTATTATTTTTATCGAAAACGAATTAATAAAATGATATGAGTGCTTATAATTATAAGTTATGAAGTTATACAACATACAGTACGTAATTTGAGCTTTATGTGGTAAAAATATAATATAATTTATTTTACACATAAGTACCAAAAACTAATTAATTTAAAAATTAATTATTTTTTTGTTACAGATTCTGTGATGGACGAGAGCACGTTAATGATCGTTTTCTACAATATAGTTCTTCCTGAACTTCCTTTGCAGTTGATTTATTCGTCTTACATTATTCAGGAAAAGTGAGATATATTTATTTTTCTTCTGATTCTTTTTAAAATTTATCTTAGTCTAAATAAATTTGATGTTCTATAAAACTTCTTTCTTTTTTATTTACACAGCAATTGGATCTTCCTTTCTTTCAATATTTCCTTTCTGTGGTTAACCTTATTTTTTTTTAGAACCTAATTTCTGTGTACTGAGTTGCACGATTTGTTGTAACTGTCGAAACTTGTCGTATGTCCCTTATATTTGCGTCAAAACTTTTGTTCTAACCTATGTATACATGTAACTAACTGTGCTATCTCGTAAGTGGTAGTGAAACTATACATGAACCTAGCAGGTGACTAACCGCGTAGAACGCAACATTCTTCATCCGGCCGGTAGGTGCCGCAGAACCACNCCCGGGTGCCACCTCGCGTCCTGCACCCGAGGCGATCCCCGGGTGCCACCCCGCGTCCTGCACCCGGGGTGATCACCGGGTGCCACCTCCCGTCCCCAGACCCCTTTAGGGGCCGTACCGCCCCTCCCCGCGTCCTGCACCCGGGGTTATCACCGGGTGCCACCTCCCGTCCCCGGGCCGCCCTTCCCCCGGCCCCTGGTTGCTCCAGGATCCGAACACTACCAGGTTCGAAAATTCCAGGATTGGAGAACTTCGGGATTCCCATTCGAATTTTGAGGACATTTGAAGTTTAAAGACCCCAAGTTTTAAAGATCTCGAAATTAGTAAGTCTGTGAAGTTTAAAGATTTAAGATAAGAAGTTCATACATCAAAGTTTCCAAAGTTTCAAAAATTGTCGAAATCAGAAAACGCCAAAAAATGGCGTTTACTAACTCCGGGATTTTCGAAATTCGGAGACTTTGAAGTAGGAAGACTTCTTATCTCAAAGTCTTTGAACCCGCAGACTTACCAATTACGAGGTCCTCACACCCCGGGATCTTCAAACTTTGAAGTGAAGTCTTCAAAGTTCGAAGTCCTCATACCTGAGGATTTTGGGAATCCCGATGTTTTCCAACCCCGGAGTCTTCGAACCCGGTAGTCTTCGGACCCCGGAGTCCGATCCCTCGATGTCCTACGACGTCCAGGTGATCCTGATGTCCTAACTGACTGAGCTCTGTTGGGTTGGTTCGATGTCCATCATTGATCCTGGGTTGCTTTGTCTGTAAAAAAACTTCTAATTATAAATGTGATAAAAATATGAAAGAAAAAAAAAAGAAATTAAGTTTTGAATAATGTTGAATAGTAATTAAAAAGAAAGTTTAAGCTACAAGAAGCATAAAAATAGATAAATAGAAAAGTATAAGCCCTACCTCTCCTTTGTTGGTGGACTCAGGTGTTTATCATAATCCTCAGAGTGGCTGAAAAAGCCCTGTAAAAATATTCTAATGTGTTGAGATCCTGAAGAAGAATTGAATTTATTGCCTGTAAAAAATTCTCAGTTAGTAAAGGAAATAAAAATAATCGACAGATACTCTATTTTAAAACAAATACTTAGAATATTCATCCTGTTAAACAAACATTTAACTTCAACAAAACAAATCAAACTTAAAAACTACCTGCAGGTTTTTTTGCACAGACTTAGATACCATAAGGATCATAAACTTTTATATTGGTGGTATTTTCCATAAGCAGTACACAAAGACAAGAAGTTTACAATGTACAATATACCATTACTTCTGCTTCTCTTGTACTATCTCTTGAACTTACTTCCACCGTAGACCTAAAACAATTGGATCAATAGAGATTTATTAACGAATTCATTTTCTGTTTTATTCGGTATATCATTTACGGCACGCATTCTCACCTTAATTAATTGCAGAATAATCCACAGTCGTGCAGGTATGTGTAAGAACGATACCATGATTCATAAGGCAATATTTATGTAGGATCCGAATAATCCTCAATGTCTCTCAGTTATACACAATACTGCTGAAAAAAACGAGAACTGTTGAATTAACTATACTATTAAATAAAGCAGGCACAAATAAAATAATTACTCACCCAAATCAACCAAATTAACATGACATTTTAATGGCGACAAGGTGTGGCTCGGCCCAGTGTAACTAAAGTTCCGGCTACCGGAAGCAACATATCGGCCATAGACATCAGCCCTGTAGTAGAAATGTCATGTCATTATTAAATCTATGATATACACATAACCAAAGTTACATAACCTAAATTTACCTATAAACAATACAAATAAGAGTTATCAATTAATAGTTTTTGTTATTATCGAATCAACTTATACAAATTTTGAAAACAGAACAATGAGCAGTGAAATTAAACCGCGAATAGCTGAATACACACCTATCAAGCCGAAGTTTGAAGTGCACCTTTTCTCTGGTACATTGGGAGACAAGAAAATCATTTTTCAAGTTATTAAAATGGTGAATTCGGTACTGATATTTGTCAATTATCTAGCTAATAGACAACTAAACGATTTATCACTAGCAATGAACAGTAGACATGAAAGGCAACCCCTAGCCACTCAGCTTTTGGGTGACTTTTCAGACCTTAATTCTAAACAGATTGCTTCAAAGTTATCTAAAAAGTTACGAAAAGTTGTTTTCGTTAGTTGCAATGTCATTACGGACAGAATTACTCTTGCATACGTATTAGAAAGGATAACCGAAGAAGCAAACATCAACCCAAACAAGTTCTAATAACACTACCGTAAGAAACATATTGTGTGGATATGATTGTGTTAAACTAAATGTTATAAATGTGTAGAATAAATAACTTGCAACGTTTGGCATTTTCACATAATTGTAATGGGGATACTGTTAACGATTACATTTCTTGATAGCTAAGAAATTGTTTATACAAAAAATATTCTGTACCTCTACAATGATTACTTTTACAAACTACTTTGCACATTAACACACATTGTGTAAACAAGCTGATAAACAACATTAATCAATAAATTACAATACATGGCAGTGTATCATCAGAATTTATCAATTTAAACAAGTTACCCACATGCTGTTTTAGTGTTTTATACAAGAACATAAGACCCTTGAAAAAAATACTAAGAGTTGTATGATCAACATAACAGTGAAGCCTGATCACTTTTTTTTTTGAATAATTTACTTAATATTACTACAAAACATATTGTGTATATAAAAATAAATTTAGTTACACAGTAGTAAATTCGAAACAAAGAACTACATGTGAATGACTGCATCTGTTTTTGTTACTTCCAATTAATCATAACTGAAAATTTATTGTAAAAAAATGTAAATTCAGGAAAAATTATGTGTACGAACAATAAAATAAAAACTATTAACACTTTGTGGTCCTTTATTTCGAACTCGATGTAATCACGTTAAACATCTCTTAGTTAATTATATAAAATAACAATCGTAAACATATTTATACCACAACTTAACTACTAAATCACAAATTCACATGATAAAGGCACACCTGCACACATCTGATTGACAACCTGAATTTCAGCAACCGCTCGACAACATTACACATGCTTTTAACTGCAGTGAAAATAAAAACCAAGTAATTTAGCAGTTTGCTCAAATCATTCCTATCATTAAATGGCATTAAAAATGAATCTCAAAGGCACCAAAATAATGACAGCTAATTTCTGAATAGTCAAATTAGAGACAACATAAACAAGTTATTCTTTACCAATTATCACATTTAAAGCTGCCACCTTGCAACGTTCCCGAATTTAATAATAAAAAATAGAAATAAATTAATTTAACTTAAATACTGATTTATGAGACACAAATCAGAAGTTTTTATTGTCTTTCTTTTAAATGGAACTCGTCTTTCCCCCCTTCAAATAAAATTATTGGAAAAATCAAATTAAATATTCAATTGTATGATTGACTCTACTTCTAAAAATCAAAATCAATAGAAATGTCTCTTTCAAATGTGTAACGCATTATTGCATAAGTATAAAAATAGTATTAACTTTTAAACTGCTACACTAACGATATCATATGCATAATATATTAAGTGATATATTTGTAACGATTAAAACTGGAACTTTTACTATTTTCCAAACAGACGTTATTATAATAGGAAAAGGATTAATTTTACGAATCTACGAATGATTGTAAACATTGCAAGATTCTGCACGTAAAAATATTTTTCCCATTATAACAACCAAAACGGGTAGTTTTCTCATATTACTATTTTCGTGGCGAAAATTTGGGGTTGGTTGGTTGATGTGTAAAACTACGTAGTTCGTACGCCATATCGATGCCATGGGCAGTTGCTGTGTCCAGATCCGATTTTCGAAAGATGATCATCCTGATATCTTTGTGTAAATAAACTTTTCCAGATTTTGAACTTATAAATCTATAAAACAAAAAAATGGTTAATTTTAAAGTACCGTGAAAACAGCATTTCAATCTATACATATTTCTTTTAACATAGTTCATAAACAGAGTCAAAAATGAAGACGAATTGTGTTCTATTAGATTAGATATGCTATCATGTTTTATGTTAAAAATTATAGTCACAAAAAGGTGTTTATATCTTAATATTAAATAAATTCATGAAGAAATAGTATTGTAGGACATATGAAGCATAACAGCTATTGTGAGATATATTAGAAGCAGAAACAGGAGTAAAGAGTTTTAGTTTTTGGAAAATGCAAAGATTGGCTGAAGATAGAAAAAATGATGATAATGAGTACTTAACTCATAATAAGGGACTCAGGGACTCTTTTAAATCCAATATCAATATTTACCTTAAATGAATGAGATATCGCAGCCATCTTGGACCCCATTCCAAATTTTCATCTTGACATTTAGTAGGCATATAAAGGGTTCGTTGTCGAAGAAACGTCTGTGAATAGGGAGGCATGTCGCTAAGGTCGTACATAATAACAAACATCTTAACAACTGTGCCGAGAGGGTTGAAAAGGGTTACTTGGATTGTGCCTGATTTGGGAACTTGGTATCCTTTTCTGCCCAGATTAATGTGCCCCTAATAAATTTAATATGTTTAATACAAAACAAGCAACATATCGATATAAAAAATGAAAAAGTTCATGCTGAGAATGATTTTCATTATAAAACATTCAATTTTGAACGTTTGTACATACTAAAAAATTAAAATAGATGCGATATTTACCAAGTAAGGTGTCGAAACTTTATCATTATCTCCCAAATTGTAAAAGAACACAGTTACTGGAAATGTAACATGTTTTGGAACGAATGATCCGCTTGCTCCCAATTCGGCCGTGAAGCCATGGACCGTTGAAACGGGTTCCAAACGACCATTCAGAACCGATTCTTCGAACGTTCCTAGCAATTGAAGATTTTAATAAGACAAAGCAAAATATACGGGCACATCAATTCATTTAGAAAGTTTCCAATAAAATATAGACAAGTAATTTTATTTCTGAATATAATATGTGTAGAACTGGAAACTTGAGTAGAGTTACAGGAAATGGTAAATGAGAGTAAAAGATGCATTAAAACTTCTAAGCTTACAAAAAAGATGCCTGAGGAAAGTGCTTGGTCATATTTTCTGTATTTCAATTTTCGGTGGACAATGAAAAGCAACAATTACCCAACAACCCTCTTTATATGAGTAAGGTTGAATTTGAATAATATTACCGTTGGAAATTACAACAGGTAGAGTATGTACAATACATATTCAAAATGAAGGCATGCCAATTTATTGAGTGTTTTTTTTTTATTAAGAAACACCCCAACTTATTTGTATGCTTTCTTTATGTTGTGTGTTTGGTACATACCACAAGCCAAGGCACTTTCATCAAAATAGCTCGCTAACAGTCAAAAATGTACGTACATTTTCCTATAAAATCCTGACTGTAACCTGTAAAGCCTGTTAACAACCTATCGCGGATCTTGAACCGCAAACCGCTGAATGTTTTACGAACCTAACAAATTATTAGGATGACCTCTCCTGTAGTACCTAACCAGTTGGGGTTCCTTCTTCGGAAGACAAAAAGAGTCCGGACTTCGTGGAGATACGATGCTACTGTCACTTTCACTTTCGTCGTCGCTGCCAGGAGAGAATAGAGCACTGCGAAATTTAAAAAAAAACTATTAGAGAACTTTGAAAATTGGAAAATAAAATAACTTTTTTTTGGTTCATGTTAACTCAGACTTATTCTTACCTTCCAATTGCGGAAACAGAATTAATACTGGAGTCGTAATCGAATGAAGATTTTCCTCTTCTTACTGGAGCGGGACTGCTTGTCAAAGGCAATCCGGTGCGCGAGTGGAATACCATGGACGTGGCGTTATCCAGCGACTTTTTGAATTTTATTTGGTCAACCGCGGACGGTATNTAGATATAAAAAATGAAAAAGTTCATGCTGAGAATGATTTGCATTATAAAACTTTCAATTTTGGACGTTTGTACATAGTAAAAAATTAAAATAGATGCGATATTTACCAAGTAAGGTGTCGAAACTTTATCATTATCTCCCAAATTGTAAAAGAACACAGTTACTGGAAATGTAACATGTTTTGGAACAAAAGATCCGCTTGCTCCCAATTCGGCCGTGAAGCCATGGACCGTTGAAACGGGTTCCAAACGACCATTCAGAACCGATTCTTCGAACGTTCCTAGCAATTGAAGATTTTAATAAGACAAAGCAAAATATACGGGCACATCAATTCATTTAGAAAGTTTCCAATAAAATATAGACAAGTAATTTTATTTCTGAATATAATATGTGTAGAACTGGAAACTTGAGTAGAGTTACAGGAAATGGTAAATGAGAGTAAAAGATGCATTAAAACTTCTAAGCTTACAAAAAAGATGCCTGAGGAAAGTGCTTGGTCATATTTTCTGTATTTCAATTTTCGGTGGACAATGAAAAGCAACAATTACCCAACAACCCTCTTTATATGAGTAAGGTTGAATTTGAATAATATTACCGTTGGAAATTACAACAGGTAGAGTATGTACAATACATATTCAAAATGAAGGCATGCCAATTTATTGAGTGTTTTTTTTTTATTAAGAAACACCCCAACTTATTTGTATGCTTTCTTTGTGTTGTGTGTTTGGTACATACCACAAGCCAAGGCACTTTCATCAAAATAGCTCGCTAACAGTCAAAAATGTACGTACATTTTCCTATAAAATCCTGACTGTAACCTGTAAAGCCTGTTAACAACCTATCGCGGATCTTGAACCGCAAACCGCTGAATGTTTTACGAACCTAACAAATTATTAGGATGACCTCTCCTGTAGTACCTAACCAGTTGGGGTTCCTTCTTCGGAAGACAAAAAGAGTCCGGACTTCGTGGAGATACGATGCTACTGTCACTTTCACTTTCGTCGTCGCTGCCAGGAGAGAATAGAGCACTGCGAAATTTAAAAAAAAACTATTAGAGAACTTTGAAAATTGGAAAATAAAATAACTTTTTTTTGGTTCATGTTAACTCAGACTTATTCTTACCTTCCAATTGCGGAAACAGAATTAATACTGGAGTCGTAATCGAATGAAGATTTTCCTCTTCTTACTGGAGCGGGACTGCTTGTCAAAGGCAATCCGGTGCGCGAGTGGAATACCATGGACGTGGCGTTATCCAGCGACTTTTTGAATTTTATTTGGTCAACCGCGGACGGTATATCAATCCCGTTAACCGCATTGTTTTCAACCGTTTTATATTTATCATTAATACTCTCGGCTCCCATTTCGATCAGGTGGCAGTTTTGCAAAGCCTCCCCCACAGGATCTGGCACTTCCTGCTGATCAACACTCTTCTCGCTCGACCAATCGTCGAACGTGAGCTTTTGTTTGGCCTTCGACTTGTACAGAGTTAAAGGAGAAAAATTACCAGAACCCTTTTTATTTTGGACAACTTTCGGAACGGGGGTATCACAATGTTTATCTAAGTGTACGTTCGACCTAATCCTATTCTTAATACTATATTCGCATGATTTTTTATCACATGAGTTAATATCACATTCACCATGAGACGCTGTCGCATCGTTCGGTGACGACGGTCCGGTAAAGTGAAGACCACAGGTACCATCATCGTCTCCATCATTCACATTAACATTAACATTATCCGACTTTCGCACTTTGCTTAATTCTACACTATTTGTACTTTGCTCGGGGCTGTTGTCACGACGACAGCTACGTAAGATGGCATCTAGCAAAAGCTCACTTTTACTTTTACTGAGATCATGGCTTGTCGGTTCAGAGTGATTCGAACAATTTTTTGATGAATTTGGTCCAAATAGATTAAAGTTTACAAATGAATTGTTACGGTCGATTTGTTCCCCTTTTTGGACTTTACCGCAACCTTGGTGAAAATCTTTGGAACTCGAAGCTTCGGCCCTTTTAAAATTAACTTTGTGGTCCTGATGATCTTGTTGACATTTTGACGTTGAAGGATACGATTGATATTGCGGATAGTCATCCGAATTCGTTTTACTATTACAGATACGTTTAAATTTTGAAAAATCTTCTTTTGACTTTACACTAGACTGTAAATCGTCAAAATCTTCGCACCTGTGCTTCCCCTTCAAATTGCAGTTGGTATACATTCTGTCATCAAACATTTTAAGAGGTCTATTTTCCGCAGTTTTATTGTTTCTAAGGTTCGGAATACGAGAATCTGCTTTCGAACAACATTTTGGACATTTTAGTACGGGAATTTCGGACGTTCTCGGCAAACTGAGGAGACATATTTGAAGGGATAAGCCGTTTCCGATGTCGGTAACAGGAAAACTATGCTCAACAGCCAACATGGTGAAGTTTAAAGTATGAAACGTCTCCCCGGGAACCGACAAACGATAGGAAATGTTTTTCTGAGATATTTTTCCGTTAGCCAATGACAGCCAAGAAGACAGTTGTGAAAAGTACAATTGAGAACGAATGGCGTTAATAAGCTGAGGTAGGTTTACGTGGCTCTTATCAGTAATCCTATAAAAATATAAATATCAGAACTTTTCATGAATCAGAAAGGAAAACCGTTATTTCTATAATTAGTTGAAGTTAATAATAACTCGATAGCTTATTAAAACATAACTTCTTATCAAAGAAAAGCGCGCCTAAGGTATACATATGATATTAGAATTTTGATTTTCTAAACAAATCAAATCAAATATTTTTGATTGTACCTTTGTATTGTACAACTTTTGAGTCTACACCCTTGTATGACTTAAAAAACAAATTCGTTTTCCTAGAATGCATTATTTGATTATGATATTGACAGCTAGTTCTTATGTTTTTCATTATTTTATTACCTCCTATGCTCAACACGAATGATCCACTGTTCGACCAAAACATTTCGACCGTTCTTGTTTTCCGATGGGCTGGTGTTAAGTTGTGGTGATTCTTCTTCGTCGCTGCATTGGCACGCTGATTTAAGCAATACGTCGATACACAAAGGAATGCCCTTTTGCCATAACTCCAAGACTTGATTTTTCACCTTCGCGAACTCCACACACTAATAGATATATATAAAAATTGAAAAATACTCCGATTTTTGTAAACAATTCTCATGTAAATTGACAAAAATTACGAAAACTTTTTAATTCATTGGACAGTGTACCTATAATATAATTGGCATGATAATTTTAATTAAAAGTGTAAACAACTCTTAATGTCTCATTAAATTTTAACAGTTTCTTCTATGTGTTTCACCGACTTTGATTGCGTACATTATCTGTCGCGGGTTGTTAATGCCACAATCAAACTGGGTCAAACACGTGTCCGTTGTTCCAGTAACATTTTTGATTCGATTTGAAAAATGGTTACCACGTTTTACTATTCATGCTGTATATTTTATTTATTAACATATGTTGTAACGTCATCGAGTTCAACAAACAGGAACTAGCACTATGCTGGCACTATTTACGCGAACTATTATTTCGGGCAAATTTAGTGCCTCTATGGCAGACCCCAGGTCTCACATTTTACGAGTATATTCGAGTTACTAATATTAGAACCTGTTCAAGCGTTTAACTCACGCAGAGTTCGACTCGTGGACACGCAAATTCACTCATTAGAATAGTAGCTCATCACTTTATTTAATTGATCAACAGTATAATTGTTGGCTAACTCAAAACACAAAAAAAGAAGCAGTCAACATAATTTCTTGAATTTTAGGGTTCCGATGCTCCCATGCGAGAAAAATTAAGTTATTAATAATGCATGCTAAAACTTATTGATGTTCAATTATTATGATCCTAATTTTTTTTGCAAACTTCTTACTTATGTTAATCTTTTTAATAATCAAAACCCGTATTGTACCCACTATTCAATTTATGCAATATTTGAACTGCAAACCAATCCAATCTCGGGAAAGACAAACGTTTAAGTATGTTACGTGTACCTACCTTCTCATATTTTACGTCCTTCAGATTATTCAAAGCATGAACAAGTTTCATGATCATTTAAATAAAAAATATTTATGTAATAGGATCATATATTTAATACATGCAAGTACTAATTAGAAAAAAACAACAGGTAGGTACTTAATTTAGACGCTTGAACATTATAAAAAATCTATTAACAATTTTCATTGTATTGAAATCAAAACCAAATTATTTTTTGATTGAATTCTCTTTTTTTTTCTAAATTATGAATCAAAAATTGAAGCAACTACCCAACAAATACTTAAAAAGGCAGTAAATCTAATCAAAAGCATGATAAAAAGCGTATATAATCAGTTAAATAGGCAGGCTGCAATTAGAATAGGAGGAATCTACGTTATTCGATATACATCCTAATGAGCGAATTTTGCGCCCAAAATTATAAATAATTTTCTACGATTTCACAATATTTCGTCTAATTGGGTTGAACCACTGTAAAGAGAATCCAAATGAAAAAATTGGTATAAAAGGATCCGAAATTATGAATCATTTCCTTGGCTTTTGACAAACAGACTTTTCGGGAAACACATTTCCTTTTACGACACCCTGCTGCGCTTATATCATACAAATTTCAACTGAATTGAACCACTGTAAAGAGTGAAATTTTGCGCGTCCAAATTCAAAAGCAAAGTTGATTTAAAAGGACCCAAAACTATGAGTCATTTCCTTGGATTTCGCAAACAATAAAATATCCAAATAACGCGTAAATTTGCTTTGTATTTGTTGTAATTTGTGCCAAGATATGTTAGTAGATAAAGTTTTTTTTTTGGCTGTCCATTACATTAAATTAGATAAAAAAATAATCTAACTAAAATTCTTGAAAACTTACCAACGGATCATAAAAACTGCAATTATGTGGACTTTCGATAAAGTTCGAATGCGGTCCTGTATGAAAATTGGCATTCTTCATAGACTGCTTTCCAGGGATGCGACCCTCTATGACAAGAGCAGCGATAGCTACCAGAACGTCACCTCCTTCCATACGATGTCCCACCTCATTTTCTAAAGTTGAACAGTGCATCTGTAAAAGAAAACATTATTTTTTAGTAAATAAACATCTCATTATCACAAGAGTTAAAAACAAAAAATAACAAAATACATAGTTCACGAAAGATGACACTTATACCAGAAAAACAATCAAATCTACGCCTTTTTTAACTTTCGCTTTCAAAATTATCTTTCAACGACAAGAATATCTAAAACTACAATTACTAATGTATTTTTAATTCAGTTACTCGTCGTCCGATCAAATAATTGTACGGCAATTCTCTTTTTACTTTTTCTTTTTTGCAAAACAGCCTACAAAAATAACACCTAAACGTACATATCTGTATCTAACCAATGAGGAAATTGGAAGCCAACGCACTGAAACCACGTCTTATGCTTTTATTAACACGATACACCGACAAACACAAAAACCACCTAAGAAAATAAACAAGATAATGGTAGAATTACTACTTATCAGAAAAATACATGTACCTACTTTCAATTAAGATCGTATTTTCGTATTTATAAATAACTATCGCTAATTTGTCGCTAAAAGATCATACTTTTACCAATTTTGTCGCTAGTTTTTCCTTCATATGTCCAACCGAAAATAACTGAGGAGCCGTCAAAATGGCACCATAATTAACGATGGTACTTTTACATATTGTGTTGCTGATCAGTGAGTTGTCTTTTGCTAGTCAGTTGAAGAATATAGACTAGCGACAAAATAGGTAAATGTACAATTTTTCAGCGACAAATTGTAGCGCTTACAGTACGCTATGTATAAGGTTACCTTGGCGGCTCTTCAGTCGTTTTTCGCTGGTCAGTTGAAGGATATAGACTAGCGACGAAATAGGTAAATGCACCATCTTTCAACGATAAATTATAGCCCTTACGATACACTATGTGTAATGCTACCTTGACAATTCTTTAGTCATCTTTCGCTGGTCAGTTGATAGACTAACGACAAAATAGGTAAATGTACCACCTTTCAGTGACAAATTATAGCTCTCACGGTACGCTATGGGTAATGCTACCTTGGCGTCTCTTCAGTCGTTTTTCGCTAGTCAACTAAAAGGTATAGACTAGCAACAAAATCGGTAAATGCATCGCCTTTCAGCAACAAATTGTAGCGCTTACGGTACGCTATGTGTAAGCTACCTTAACGGCCCTCCAGTCATTTTTCGCTGGTCAGTTGAAGAATATAGACTAGCGACAAAATAGGTAAATGTACCACCTTTCAGTGACAAATTATAGCTCTCACGGTACGCTATGGGTAATGCTACCTTGGCGTCTCTTCAGTTGTTTTTCGCTAGTCAACTAAAAGGTATAGACTAGCAACAAAATCGGTAAATATATCGCCTTTCAGCGACAAATTGTAGCCCTTACGGTACGCTATGTATAAGGCTACCTTGGCGGCTCTCCAGTCGTTTTTCGCTGGTCAGTTGAAGGATATAGACTAGCGACGAAATAGGTAAATGCACCATCTTTCAACGATAAATTATAGCCCTTACGATACGCTATGTGTAATTCTACCTTGACGATTCTTCAGTCATCTTTCGCTGGTCAGTTGATAGACTAACGACAAAATAGGTAAATATACCACCTTTCAGTGACAAATTATAGCTCTCACGGTACGCTATGGGTAATGCTACCTTGGCGTCTCTTCAGTCGTTTTTCGCTAGTCAACTAAAAGGTATAGACTAGCAACAAAATCGGTAAATGCATCGCCTTTCAGCAACAAATTGTAGCGCTTACGGTACGCTATGTGTAAGCTACCTTGGCGGCTCTCCAGTCGTTTTTCGCTGGTCAGTTGAAGGATATAAACTAGCGACAAAATATTTAAATGTACCATCTTTCGGCGACAAATTATAGCCCTTACGGTATGCTATGTGCAATGCTACCTTGGCAACTCTGCGATCGTTTTTCGCTGTTCATCTAGGATATAAACTATCGACAAAATGGATAAAAGTATAGTCCTTCAACGACAAATTATAGCCGTTACATTATTTATCTATACCATTTCTATTCCGAGATAGGCCATGTGTAGTGTCAGCTTGAAATCAGGCTAGCATTTCGTCTGTTTTCAAATAGCAGACTGGAGCGACAAATTTTTGAATTTAACAACAAATTATAATGCAGTTTAGAAATGCAACTTTGTCATACTAATTTGGTACAAGTTAATATTTACGTATACAGCGTATTATAAAGAAGTAAAATTAATTTGTATCTTATTTGTATGTAAAATGTAATTTATTGGACTACTGAATCTATTCTAAACATTCTTCGACTAATAGAAAGGCACACTATCTTTGATGATTAGTACTAAGTACTATATTTTATTTTAATAATTATAAATTTTGATATTTTTTAGCCTGTGTGGTAGTTAATATAAAAAAAATGATTTTTGCGCGGATAAAGCCACAAACAAAAGCTCCAGTACTTAATATTTTGATAAAAAGAACATTCTATAGCATATTTATCAAAAACGTGCGCTAAAAGATTGTCTAAGTATATAAGAAAAGATACAACATCACGTTCATTATTTAGCAAGCGTACATAATGTTCATATCTATATCACATATACCTACATGACATTATTTACAACGCAATTATAATTTTTCTTCGTTGCAAGGGTTCTGTAATGCAGCAGTAAAATTATACGTCGAATGCTTTTGATTAAAATTCAAGTTTGCATTAATGTTGGTCAGGTACTTGATATATACAATGCGGGTAGGGTAGTACAGAAATTAATATACCGTGTGATCCAAATTCGACTGTGTAATGAAACTTTTGACAATAACTATTTCGTTATTGATACTTCGCGTTTTGTTCCCTTCGCTGCTTCTAGTTTGAATTTGAGTCACCCTGTACTTGTTATATTATTCATACGTAACAACAGCAACTCATTCACCCCATACTGTCATGCAAATGATTATATAGAATGGCTTACGAATGACAAGAATAGAAAGTAGGCGTACACAAAAGCACGTATTGCGTTTGTTTCAGTATACATTTTTGCTAGACAAGTCGTCGACTTGCAGTTCTTTGTGTGCGGACGGATAAAAACTTTGCCAAAATATTTCAAAATATACGGCACGTTGTTGGTACACTTACGTAAGCGAAAGTACGGCACGAATCGCGACAAAGTACGTCAACAACGACCTGACTTTATTTGTACATTTGTATGAGATTAATACAGGATAGGACAGATGAAGAAGAACAATAAGGGGTAGAGTGGGAAATCGGGGATAACATTGAAGGGGGCAAAATAGATATCTATGAATAAATAAATAATTTTTGAAACAACACAAAATTCGCGATACTTTTTGGGCAGACCTCGTATACATATAATAGAAGCTTCTTTTTTTAAGGTCGTGTGGAAAACAATTTTCTTTGTCCTTAAAACACCTTTTTCTTAAACAGAAAAGCACTCTTTGTTCGTATATCATTAATTAGCTAATTAATGTATATTGTTCATATTATGTACTAATAAATCATTACTAATTAGTAATTTAGCACACAAATAAAGAAAGTAATTGCATCGATATAGGTACATAAATATGTAATGTCTTTTTTAATTAACAATCGAATGGAGTTCACGAACTAGTGCAATTAATAAGAATGAAAATTTCATACTTATTTTACAACTTTTCAACAGCAATTCATTTCTGTCCATCTACTACAATTAAAAAAACTGGGCACGCAATATTGCTTAAAAAATACATAAATATTGATATGCTAAAGTTGTAAAAGGTATAAAAACAATGCGATATAAATGCATGCAAAAATTGTTATTTTTTTTAAATACTTGTAGGTAAAAGAACAACCCCAAACTTTTGATTAATATCTTCTAAAATTACTTTTACATATATTGAAAAGGTTATTGCTAATAAAACATCGTATTTTAAAAGAACAATATGACAATCATCGGTTTTTACGTAATTATAGCTTAAAATCTGTTGCAACGAAGTGCACTCTCCGAGAGCATCGCAGGTTACTAACTCAGGTAGGCAAGTTTGATTGTTATAAACTGACGCCATGCAAATAAGCGCATCTGATTGGCCATCAGGACTACGGCCATTTTGTTTTTCGCAAAAGTAGGTCAAATTAGGTGCACCTGCACCCTAAAGGAATGTGTAAATAAACAATGTTAGACGCCACTTGTAGGCAAATGTAAATAAACAATTCTAGGCGCCACTTATATGAACATAAGAAATTATAAAAAGGGATAACTTAACTATTTCTTAACAGATTTTGATGCGGTTTTCACCAAAATTTAGGAAATTTAATGATACTTTATATTAATAAAATAGAAATAGATACTTTTATTTTACACACACTCGCATCACATTTACAGTTTACATTACGTTTAGATCCGGGAATAAGTATTCAAGCAAAACCGTGAAAGATAACATTATTAGGATCCCACGTGAAATACATAATTAAAAGTAATATTGCTATAACTATAACTATAACAACTTACCATTGATTGTCACCATTGAATATTAAAAAATACAAGTACCCGGCTGAAAATTAGATAGTATCCTGATGTAAATACCTTGTATCGCATGTAAGAAATACATTGCACGTTTTGGTAATTGCGAAACCAATGGAGATATTAAACACGGTAATAAATGACATTAGATTAAGAAACTAAACTAGTACAAATCACAAGCAAAATTTAACCGAAAGAAAACCGGTGTTGACATTGCGAATTGGTACCTATTTAATTACTAATATTAGCACCATAGTGACGTATTTTAAAAATGGTTTGATGGCCTGCCTCTCTTGATATTCAAATGCCAACATTTCGAACTTGCGTCAATAAGATAATTTTAAAAATTAGATACACTATACATGTATATTAGACAAGTGTGTTACCCGAAAAACTCAACGACCGAACATGACCTTTGCAAAACAATGTCGTTTCTAAAGGATAAAAAAGGATTAACAGCGTATTTTGTTGTATTAAAAAGTAAATATTTTAAACTATTACGCAGTTGTAGTAATAAAAACTGGAAGTACAATAAAGTAAATATTACGAGAATTGTCCAACACTTAACTAAATTATTTAAACTGATAACAAAACAACAGGATCTCTCTTTTGCTTTATTTGTTACAGTTATTCGTACGTAAACCAATAATGTAGATACGTATTCGTAATCGTTATTGCAAATATTTTTGGCTTTGTTTTTTTTTTTTTTAATTTTTAGACGAAGTATTTTGTTATTTAGAAATTTAAGTTAATGGAAAGTAGAACATGCACAAGCAATTATTGCTCTCTACATAAGATAAAACTTTACACTAGTGTTTATTTGGTCCACGTCTTATTATTTATTAAACATGAGGTACACTCACTAATGACTAATTTGTCGACTGACAATTTGTTGGTGTTTATCAGCGACACTTCAAAAAGTTTCGCAAAACTACAAGTAAGTATACCTACTTAAATATTTCTTACAGTTCAACATTTCTTTGCTGTTACAGATAGTTAATATGAAAACAGGAACTACATCGTATTTCTTTAATATTAGCTTTCATTAACGAAAATATTGATGCTATTTTACGTACATTTAAGATACATGGCAACTGGTTTGCGTAAAAAATGCATCTAAATTTACAATGCGATAAAATTCTAAAATAGCCATCTATTACAGCTTGCTTACGTTCATACTTCATAAGCACCAATTAGTCTACATTCCAATTTGGCAACGAAAGTACCTGTTGAAATGTTCTAGGCTTCTAAGTAGTTCAAATATTATTAAAGTAGTGCCTACCTACTTTTAGCTCTTATCGATTAAACTACATTTCTAATTTAAAAAAAAAGCGATAGCATGTTGCCCTCTAAAGATATTTGTCTGACAATAACGGTATTACATAAATCATAACCAAAAAGAGAGATGCCTGAACCATTTTAGATACGGATTGCCCAATTAAGACTTTTGTGACCCTGATGTGGATACCCTATCGGAACCTTTTTGCGGTATACCTTATACTGGGGTTCTGATGTGGATACCACTCCTGAATCCTTTGACCGCTTTCACTATAATTAAGACTGATGTGGCCCTGATGTGGATACTCTATCAGAACCCTTTTACGGCATATCCTATTAAGACACAGTTCTACTGTGGATGCCATATTTGAACCCCTATACGGCTTGCCCTATTAAGACTGATATGACCCGCATGTGAATACCCTAACTCAACCACACCTTTTCTTTTCTAGATCATGTGGATACCACTCCTGAACCCTTTGACCGCTTTTCCTAATATTAAAACTGATGTAGCCCTAATGTGGATATCAGAACCCTTCTTTTACGCTATAACCTGTTAAGACTTATACAGTTCTACTATGAATGCCATACTTGAACCCTTTTACGTCTTGCCCTATTAAGACTGATATGGCCCTCATGTGGATACCCTAACTCAACCACACCTTTTATTTTCTGAATATGTGGATACCACTCCTGAACCCTTTGGCCGCTTTCCTGATGTGGCCCTAATATGGATCAGAACCCTTTTAGGGCATACCCTGTTAAGACTTATACAGTTCTACTATGAATGCCATACTTGAACCCTTTTACGTCTTGCCCTATTAAGACTGATAAGGCCCTCATGTGGATACCCTAACTGACATCCTGATTAGCCTCAAATGTTTTAAGCCGTTACATTTCTGATCCGATCGAAATCAAAATAATTGATCAGGATCAAATGATATAACCTAATCTGGGCCACACAAGGTCCAATCAAAACTATATTGTCTGGCCCTATTTGAAATCAGATATTCCGGATAGGGTCCCGACCGCAGAAAATAAGTACCTCCTCACATTAACAACCATTAATTAATTCGGGCATAATTGCATTTGGGAAAATTTCCATCCATTTTGATTCGATATTCAAATGGAGCAATCGACCATCAGCTGATTCATAACGGCTTGTTTTGCACACACCCGCATGACGTCAAAGACGAGCGACCACGTTAGTGGCCGGTTTCCTGTGTTGAACAATTACATCTCACGACCACATGGACAATAATACATGTACAGCCACATGGCGCATGGCATGTTTCGATCCGCTGTGACCGTTCACAGCTGATTGTGGCCGCAAGGACAGCTGATTGTGCGCTGCGCGAGACGCAGCCAAGGTTACTTTGTGAAAGGAATAATAACACACCGAATCCGCGAAAAATAGGAGGATTTCGCCAAATCTAATCAAAATTCAATAATTGTCTCAATTCGGACAAACCTACCTGAATTATAAATTTACATATATTCTACGTAATTTTGTGTCTGATAAATAAATTAATAATAATTATAACGAACAAACAAATTCATGATAATCAGTAAATGCAAAGTGCAACACTTTCACTACTATTTAACATTGCTTGTAAACATTATTTTTCAGCTCTACCTTAAAAAAATTCTATTTCTTAAACGGGCATGGCGTATGGGCGGGTATCGAAGTTTCTGGCCCATTTACTGGCACCCTGGTTTTATATTGTCAATTGTCACTTTAACCTTGAGTTACATGGGACCAAAAATCTTCAACAGTGTGGCATATCCTTGGCCCAGACAAGAAAAAACTGCATACTATGCGCTGATCTTTTAAGAAACCTATTCTTCGATATTTACAGTGAAAACCTACCAAATGGGGTATAATGTGGTTATTTTCAAATGTTTCAAAACAACTTCTACTTTTTCCCATCTGACTTAGCGCGGCTGATAAACAGATGATGTAGTTTTTCCCATCGTCTTTTATTTTTAATGAACCAGATAAAGAAAAATATTTGTTTAAAAATTATTATTAGATGGACTGTTTGCGTACCTACCCAATTAAAGGTCAGCTCTAAAAATATGATCGTAAATGGTAAGTACAAAAACAGACGGTAACCCACTTCTAAAAATAGCTGAAAAGTTCCAAAATCAAAAGAATCATTCAAAAAGCCAACCTTATTAATTTTCCCATTAAAATATATTTTTACTGCTTTGTACTGGTGACGTCAAAATCAATAGCATAACCTTAGAATGAATCCTTTTCAAGGAAATATTATACGTAAACGTAATAGTTTAGAGGATCCACGCACTCACACCAAAGGCCGTTGTCAGTTGCAGTTGCTTCCTAACGTTTCGCTAGCTCGAGAGGCGAACTTCTTCAGAGATCCTTCCATCTCCGATGCTGGATGTGAAAGATCTCTGAAGAAGCGTCCACCCGTGCTGGCGAAACGCTAGAAAGAAACTCCCACCGACGATGGCTTATAGACCCGAATCGGGACAGCAAAAGAATATGTCATGTTTTTTTAAATTAATAAGGTTTCGACTTTAAACCTTGACGAGGACAATAAAATTTTGTTGACCTTTACTTTTAAAAGGACAGTTGATGATAGAGATGTTCAACTTATCTTAAAACAATAAATATTTAGCAATTAACAAATAATGATTATAATTTATGATATAAATATTTATCATTAAATATACCATATAAATAAATAATAACATGTTTAGTAATAATTATTGTTATTACTTATTTTCACTACCCACATCGAATGAATTAACTTCTTGATACTTAAACAGATAAATATAATTTGCGCAGTATATTCAGGGCCGGACTGGGGGTCAAACCGACAAAATTAAAAGCCAAAAAGAGAAGAAATTGAAAAAAATAAATAAAATAAAGGCTGCTCTCACTGTCAACATTATCATACTTATGAGGTTTAAAAGGCTTGCTATAAATTTCAGAACGGGGACTGTGGGGTTTAAAAAACGGATTATGGGTTCATCATCATAAGGTTGTCAGTCCTAAGACTGGTTGGACACGCACCTCCACTCTTTCCTATCCTGAGCTAATGTTCGCATGTCCCTAAAACTTGAAAAACCCACATCCTGAACTATTTGCGAACACCAATCTAATCTAGGTCTACCTCTACCCTTCCTAACTTATGTGTTACTGAGGTTTTCAATGCGGATCTGAGTTGGAAATTTTATTCGAAGCCTATACCTATTTAGTTAATGTTTTTTTTTAATTTTGCGAACCCAAATTTATTTTACACAACATTAGCCAGTGCGGCCCTGCGCATATTATATATGTGCACATAAATAAATAAGTAAAAACACGTCAAGGACTAAGGTTACTTGATTAAAATCCTCCATTGTTATAGATAGTACTAATAAATAGTACTTACTTAATTAACTACGTTGTTATGTGCAGTACATATTAGTCAAGTCGGTTATTTATGTATCTATATATAAAGCCTACCTTTATATCAATATACATACAGATATGTATATGGTGTATACATAAAGATGTAACGCTAAAGCTACTTTAACATTTAAAAAATTTGTTGATGATGTCACCTATCAAGGATATCTAACGACGTATTTTGGATCGTCGTTACATGGATCCCAATTTCTCATCATTTTCTTATCGTTTACATAATTGGGCAAAGTTTGGTTAACGCGTAGACAGCGTGTTGCCATTTCAGCCTATTTTCATTCAGCAGTAAAAAAACAACAACATTTATTGTAACTTATATATACAATTACTTACATATATACGGAAAGATATCTAACATTGATAAACAGCAGTTAATATAACATGCTTTCCTTTCGTGATTATGTTGTGATGATTGAACAAAATTATGAAACTTCTGAACGGATATTATTCTTGTTAAGTCCAT